AAAACATAAAGGACTCTTGATTCAATCAGAGAATTTGGCAACGCCTGAAGATTCATACGGCGTTCTTCCTTAGCACGTCAGTATGAAGCATGCGTTCTTAACAACGATCGCTAAACAAAACGGCAGTTCTCTCATTTCCCGGGACTAGTTCCGGATTTCGAAACTTTTGAGATTTTCCTGAATTTTTCTCGGATCCTTTGGAATCCCCTAAATGTTCCGGATCTTTGCGCTTTCCGGAACTTCTCGAAACTTTAGACGGCCATGGAGTGGGAGAAATTGGAGCAAAAAAGTTCCGAATCCGGGAACTTCTGACGGAAATGGAATAGGACACTGGAAAAAAAAAACAAATTGGATCTAGAGTCCAGACTCTTAAAAACATCGACAAGAAAAAATACTCTTGATTCAATCAGATTTAAGCTTAAATCAAAAGGAAGTACGCTCAAATTAAGAGGCTTGGTTCTTGATTTGAGCTTAAATCTGATTGAATCAAGAGTATTTTTTCTTGTCGATGTTTTTAAGAGTCTGGACTCTAGATCCAATTTGTTTTTTTTTTTTCAGTGTCCTATTCCATTTCCGTCAGAAGTTCCCGGATTCGGAACTTTTTTGCTCCAATTTCTCCCACTCCATGGCCGTCTAAAGTTTCGAGAAGTTCCGGAAAGCGCAAAGATCCGGAACATTTAGGGGATTCCAAAGGATCCGAGAAAAATTCAGGAAAATCTCAAAAGTTTCGAAATCCGGAACTAGTCCCGGGAAATGAGAGAACTGCCGTTTTGTTTAGCGATCGTTGTTAAGAACACATGCTTCATACTGACGTGCTAAGGAAGAACGCCGTATGAATCTTCAGGCGTTGCCAAATTTTCTTCGTTAAATCACAAATTCTCGGGAAAATTTACAAATATTTCTCTTCCAGCTTTTCATACAATTTCGTTCGCAATTTTACCTATAGTTTCTGAAAATTTCAAGGAAAAATATGCATAGCTTTCCTCAAAAATTTACATTTTATCGAAGGAAACTTGGTAACTCTCGAATGTTCATATAGCGGTTTTTCCTTAGCACGGCAGTTTAATCCAGTGGTATTTCCCCGAGTTGCGGCGACACCGCATTCCGGAAAGTTGGGTCTCGGAGGAGCGAAAGCGTGTTTCTGAGGGACGAGGGGACGACACAACGGAGATGCCCCGGGATCAGAATAGTTTGTAACAACATCGCCTCACGGCGAAGTGCGCTTTTGCGGTGCAAGGGCCAATCCCTGCAATTGGCAGCCGCCGGCACTGCACCAGTATACGCTCCGCTTACCGCGACGGCTGGTNGGGGGGGGGGGGTGTTCGCGGTTATTTTGTGTAAATGCTCACAGTTAGTCCTGTGAGCGTGTGACGTCACTAACGTAGCAGGTCATCCGATCGGTACACAGGGACCTCGGACTCGTTGATTCTACGAGGTAAAACAAGTGAACTGATTTCGCGGATTTCCATGCTGCCGCACTAAGGAAAAACACGGATTTTTTTTTTTTTTTTTTTTTTTTTTTTTTTTTGGTACCTCAGAAATACATAATTTTACAAATAGTTTACAAGTCTTATCATTTAAATATCATTCATATCATATTAAGTCATTAATTCAAGATTCACTTCAATTAAGTATTTGCGTTCCGAGACACACCGGAATTACGGACAGGTATATCATCGGCCGGGGTTATTGTTACGGAAAAAAGGGATTGCTGATTTAACAATTAAATTGTTAAAAAATGTGTCCGACATGTTTCAAATGTACATAGGCTGTCCCAAAACAACTGGCACTAAGGCTGTCATTCGGGAAGTACAATAGATATAGACATGCGGTTTGCGGGTTGTGATAGTTCATACTCATAGCTCTTAAACGAGCCTAGGTTGAGCTAATTTGGTTAAAAACTCATCGAGTTACATCAATTTTCCCGAGACGTGTAAGAAATACCCCTACAGGATTTTTCGGTAATTTTTCATTCCTTAACTTTGCCTCTGCAAGCTGTGCAATTGGTTCAGACGTTATGAATCAAGTTTCCACTTGTCTGGATGCAAGTATAAACTTGCCAGCAAGTGTTTCCATCACAGTCGAGAAGTTTTTCTCTGTTTGCAAAGTCAGTTCAGTGAAATTGTCCGGCCTGATAACGCGTTTTTTTGTGTTTCATCATGAGTTCACCCGCGGGGTTGAAGCAAGAGCAACGATATGCAATTCGATATTGCGTTTGTCGTGAATTATCCGCTTCTGAAACTGTGAATGAAATGACAGTGGCTCAGAGGTGCTTCAGAAGCAGATAATTCACGACGAACGCAATGTGGAATTACGTATCGTTGCTCAGTGCTTCAACTCCGCGGCTGAACTCATGACGAAACACAAAAAAACGCGTCATCAGGCCGAACAATTTCACTAAACTGACTTTGCAAACAGAAAAAAACTTCTCGACTGTGATGGAAACACTTGCTGACAAGTTCAAACTTGCATCCAGACAAATGGAAACTTGATTCATAACGTCTGAATCAATTGCACAGCTTGCAGAGGTAAAGTTAAGGAATGAAAAATTACCGAAAAATCCCGTAGGGGTATTTCTTACACGTCTCGGAAAAATTGATGTAACTCGTTGAGTTTTTAACCAAATTAGCTCAACTTAGGCTCGCTTAAGAGCTATGAGTATGAGCTATCACCTCCCGCAAACCGCATGTCGATATCTATTGAACTTTCCGAATGACAGTCTTAGTGCCAGCTGTTTTGGGACAGCCTATGTAAATTTTACAATAGTGAAAAGCCAATTCAACCATGGGGTTAGCATTTCTGTTATCGTAAAATTTACATTAAAGCATGTCGGACACTTTTTTGCAAACTTTTTTTGTTCGGGCAATTTCCTCTTTTTCCGTGAAACGCCGTAAGAGCCTTTAGACGTTGCCAAATTTCATTTAATCAGAAATTTACTGAGAAAATTGTGAATTTTTTTGGAGGATTTTGGTCGCAATCCAATCTAAAGTATTTGAAAAGCTCAAGAGAAATGTTTAACGGTTTCTCAAAAATACTTGTTGTATTCGGGAAAATTCGGTGACTGTTGAATGCCCATATGGCGTTCTTCCTTAGCTCGGCAGTACGGCCCAAGTGCGAAGTCACGTATCTTCGTTTGCGATGTTGCAGACTTCCAGTCATAGTTTATTTTTTCTTCGGAGAACAGGTCATCATAATTTCTTGAGAACTTCCCTGATTTTTCCTCTCCGATACCAAAATATTCAGTATTCAAATTCAATTCATAGAGTTGGCTACTTTCTTTTCGAAAAAATAAAATGGGAGCGGTAATTTTGAAACACCTTAATGGAGAGACGAGGAAAGTTTCTACCCCAAAGTCTACACTGTTTTTTCATTGCATCATATTAGCGTATTTAAATCCGTTTGTCGAATCGATCCTTGAAACGCCTTCACCCCGTCCGAATACTTCCCGCACATCCTCAAGGTTAAAATAGTTGCGTGCTTTATATTTCAATCCTAAACTGCGCATCTGTACCTTACCGTTAATTTTTTTGGTATGAGCATTTAGTGCTTTTAAACACAAATTCTCTAACAACATCTCAGGCATCTAGACAATAATTATCTAAGTCGATATTTTATCTCTTCAAACAATTTCTGGCAAGATTGTGTGCTCCTCTTTGGTGCTGCTGGATAATTTTTAAAAATTATATACTTAACTATTCGTAATTATTGACTGTAAAACGGTATAATTGAATCCAATCAGTAAACTACATGCCCAACATACAGTTTTTATAAAAAAAAGGGGGGCGGGAGGCATGGGGCAACATCTATTTGTAAAAATATTCACGTGTTACGATACCCTATAAAATAATTTTGCCACGTATTGATTCCTTCTGCTATTTTGCTGTACTGAGAAGTTTCAAATTGTTATCAATTCAAAATGAGGCTTTTCCAATTCAGATCTCATCTGTGAGTGAGAATTCAGGTCTCTATTCATGCTGCTTCCGTTTTTACTCTGTGTGATTCCATTCAATAAGGGGTAGGAATGAAAAGTAACGAATTGTAAATGTGCATTGAACATAACGCAGTATTGTGTGCATCCCTGCAGCGGAATTCATGACAATGGTATACTTCCAATAATTCTATCATAGTTTCCAATATCGCTGAACCTACCCACGTTTTCGCTGTAATTCTGTCACCTCTCGTTCTTTGATCCGCCAATACTCTGGATTCGTAAATATCATTAACAATAGACCGTTAGAAGAGGGGCCTTTATCGAAATTTACTTGCTCGCTGAAAAATTCCCCGTATGTAATGGTTCGACCTATATGAATCGTTCTTCAACAAACTTTTTACAGAGATTTTGTCTATTCTATTCCTATAAACGGTATCGAGAAAGTTGATTGTCATGTTTCTAAGAAAAACCAAAGTCTACATTATATAATAGGCTATTGAGAAGGAATTCATGCGGTTTGCAAATCATCGGTGTTTGATCCTCCGCAAATTGCCTTCCTTCTTCTCAGCAATGCCCACTTGATCATATTTGCAAGAAGGCGATAATGTCATTGCGATTCCTTTAAGATTGAGTGACTTATTTTATTCTTTAGGAAAGACATCAAAAGTTGAACTGTTTATAGTTTTATTCCCACAGTATAATTAAAGAAGGAAGATGGAAGGATGTATCCTGTGAATTAAAGTTGGTAGGCTGTTATCTTATTCATTTTTATAGCCTATAAGTTGCTTTGACTTCGCAAAATTTTAATATTATAACTACTACAGGTTCTTTTTACAAAATATGGTCTGATTTATCCCAAGAAAATAGTTTCACGAGCTAAAACTCCTTCTACTGTAAATTATATCAATATCTGTCTATGTGTCACGGGATTTAACTTTCAAGGATCTCGGTTGTTTAATGAGCAAGTTTTTTGAATTTACAAGTTAGGAGAGCTTTAACGTCATGTCTGCGACTAAGATATGTCATTCGTGAAATAGAGTGTAAATCTCTGATTTTCTATTTGTTTCAGAGGGCTGGAGAAAGACAAGAAAGATGTCAAACTAGCACTCAAATACGGCTACAACAGGGTAAGTTAAATCTGAAATTTAACCTATAGAACGGCGCTTTTCAGCACCATAGAAAACGCTCCTATGAAGATGGAGAATTTCCATTTAGAATTACTACAAAATTATTTAGAATTACGGAAGAAGCAGATCAGAACTTAAAAAATCTATTTCTCGGAATGAAATATCATAGTTTGTTACTTTTTTGATCCTTATAAAATGTGAAATAAATTTGATATTCTTTTTATTTCTTGAATTGCACAGTTCAAATAATGTTTGAACCGCAAAATTCCAACACCATTGCTCCAGTTTTGTTGGAAATTCTTGAGCGTTTTTGCCCCGTAATACACCTCAAGGTACATGGTCTTATATCAAAAACTCAATCTTAAATTTTGTGGGCTGAAGTCCCTTTTCTGTGGATTTTCACATACCGGCGCAGAACTCCCTTGAGCATCTTCAGAAATCCTTGTAACTCCTCAAAATGTGTCGATGGCGCAGACGGTATGCACCTCATTTTCAATATAAATTCTTCTCTCGACCTTCCTCTTAATTTTCTTATCCTGACTGTAATTTTCTGCTCCGTGCACGTGCACTAATAGAAAGTATTCTGCGCCGTGTTAAGGAAAAACGCCGTATAACCATTCGAATGTTGTCAAATTTCCCCTTTTGAAACATTTACATATATTTTGGAAAAAAGTTAGGAGTGCTTTACCTTGAAATTTTCAGATATTATAGATTTAATTATGATAAAAATGTGTGAAAAATTGGATGAAAAATATGTACAGATTCCCGATAAATTGATAATTTATCAAAATATATTTGGCAATGCCTGAAGGTCCATACGGCGTATTTCCTTAGAACGGTAATTCAGTGGATCGAATTTTATTCGAGTGGTTCACGTCAACAAAACATCCGAGCTTACGACGAGAGCTTTCAGTACTTTGCAAAGCTTTCAAAACGCGCCCACTTCTGGTACCTGTAAATCTGGAATCTGCGGAGCTGGAATTCCAGAAGTTCACAGCTTTCTTTCGGAATTCGAGCGCTTCGCGGGAAATGCACGCTTACAACCAACCGCGCAACACGTAAACCGTCGACAACCATCGTCGTCGACAAATTCAAGCGAATTATTCATCGTTGTTGCCGTTTTTAGCCGCATATTTCACATTCTGACGGAAAGAGTTATTTTTCAGCGATTTGCGTCAGTATGAAGAAGCGCCCAGCGGGCTGATTATTGAAATTGATAGACAAAGCCATAGATAAAGGAGACAAAAGAGATAGGGAGAGATCCTATTGGTGGAAGCGGGTGGTTTCAATGGGAAAAAGATGTAGGTAATAGACTAACTAACGGCAACTCGCGAAAGACCCGATAGTTGGTCTATCATTTTCTCCCTTTGTCTATAGGAACCACCCATTTCAACCCATAGGATCGCTCCATACTCCCTATGTCTTCTTTGTCTATAGCTTTGTCCATCAATTTCGATAATCAGTCCGCAGCTTTAACTTTTTACCGATAAAAGCGTAAACGACCAACTTGTCAAAATCAAGTTCGGAGAGAATACATATACATTTTAAAGATTCCACGCGCCTAACTACCCTCCACTACGCATACAGTCTGATTTGTGCTCAATCTGTCCATTGTCCAATGGACCACTTGACAAGGTACGAATTTTAGCATTCTGATTCATGTCCCTTAACCAGAAGTTCACGTAGAACACTGCATCACAAATTACTGAAATCAACTCCTAACTAAGATGCTAACGTTTTGATTTTACATTGGTTAAGGGAAATTTGAATTTCCCGTTCACAAGAGACACAATACTCTACGTGAGTCAAGTCGCGCTTTAAAACGGTTTTGGCAGACTTCCTAATCAAACATTGTTTGATTTCCCACCCTTTATTATTCAAAGCGTAAACAATTTGCCACACCTGAGCCAAAGCGTCAAGATTAAGATTGCCGTATTTTCGTATCGGAGAGACTGCCACGGTAACGTTTAGTTTGCGATCTGACGTACGTTGACCACTGTGTTTTCACGAGCACTGGAAAAAAACACACATTGGATCTAGAGTCCAGACTCTGAAAAACATCGACAAGAAAAAGTACTCTTGATTCAATCAGAATCTAGCTTAAATCAAGGGTTTACGGACAGTAGGTCTACAAGAAAAAGGGCTACAAAAAAAGGGCTACCTCCTTTGGTCTATAGTCAAAATGTCTACATGAAAATGCCCATTAAAATAATGTCGATAGTAAAATATGTCTGCGGTATTAAAATGTCTTTGGTTTGACTGCCTACTCTAAAAATGTCAAAGTGCGTATTTATGTCGTCTAATGAGAATCTCATTTGAAAGTGTATCCCCAAAGACAGGACGAAGCTGTGGGTGCTGCAGAAGTTGATGCGTAAAAATTGTGAGGCACATTTCGCGAATAATTGATCCTATAAATATCAACATGTGTATTTTATTTTATATTTTATAAATATATTTTATATATTTTTAGTGGCCAACATAAATATTTTGACATTTTCTAAGTGGGCAAACAAATCGAAGAAATTTTAATAGCGTAGACATATTTGACTGTAGACATACTTTTAGTAGGCATTTTAATGTAGTTGTTTTGACTGTAGACTAAAAAGGTAGCCCTTCTTTTTGTAGCCCTTTTTTCTGTAGACGTACTGTCTGCATACCAAATCAAGAACCAAGCCTCTTAATATAAGCGGATTTCGTTTTGATTCAAGCAAAAATTCGATTGAATCAAGAATATTTTTTCTTGTCAATGTTTTCAAGAGTCTGGACTCTAGATCTAATGTGTTTTTTTTCCCAGTGAGCGGGAGGTTTGAATGTAAGCAACATTAAATATCTTGGTTAGGAGTCGGTTTCAGTTATTTTCGTTGCACCAATCGTGTTCTGCGTTAATCCTGGTTAAATAACATGTATCAGAATGCTTAACTTCGTATCTTGTCTAGTGGTCATTTGATTAAACTTTTACTCTGGGTACCAATCGAGTACCGATGACGTTCGGTCGAAGCGACAACCACGCTGTTTGCCTACATTGCGCTGATAGGAAAAGCAAACCGAATTCCACCCCGCTCTCTTGCCCTCTCCATCCCTATGTGCCCTTATGGTCTCCCAAATTGCCCCCCCCCGCCCGCGTCTCGCCGCGGATGATTTTCTTCCGCCCGTCAACCGTCTGGTCCTTCCATCTGCCTCGATCCGATTTCCACCGCACACTGGACCGAGTCAATAGGAGAAATCGGACGAAATCTGGAAACTTTCAACGCTTATTTTTTCGGAATGGAGACGTTGCATGTGTGAGGAATTTGTGATTTGACCAGTGATTCTTACGTAAAAGTTAACTATTTCACACCCTGGTGTGAAATAGTTGCTTCAAGCGCCGTGGTACTCTGCGGCGCGGCGCAGCGGGCGGGCAGCCAGCGCGAAACGCGCATTGGCGCCTACAAACCTAACAGGGATACTTCACGCATTGCGCAATGCGTGAAGTATCCTTGTTAGGTTTGCAGGCGCTAATGCGCCGCCGCTCCGCTTTGTCTTAGGCTCTAATATTTAATCTCGTGGAGACAGCGTTTTTCAACTCATGACTTTGAAATATTTGCACACTCTGTATGGATTATTCTCAATTTAATTGATGAAAAAATATGTAGTAAAGGAAAATATAATGTGCGTTTTGTAAACCGTCTGGTCGTTCCATCTGCCTCGATGATTCCGTACAAACTTAAGGATTTACAAAGCACACGAATTTCTACACAATTTCTCATAGCCTTTTATAGCCCATGGCGAAAAAGCAACAGCCAGGCGATAAAGTGTAAAGCCCGGCGATAGGAACTATAGCCCGGCTGTATAATTTTTTATCGCTTCGTGTAGCCCGGCCGTATGATTTTTTCCACTTTCTACAGCCAGCTATATGATTTTCTATCGCCTTCTTCAGTCGGCTATAAGAACTCCTATGGTATTTTGAAAAGCAGCTCCTATCGCCATTTTTTATCAGAGGAGGTGGGTCGAAAAACGGATGGATGTAAACGTTGGCCAAAATTCATCAAGCAACTGAGTTTAGTTCTTGACTCCAGCAGAGCGTTTTTCTCCTTTGGTTTCCAACCCTACCGATCTGGTCAAAAAACTCGACCGAATCCACTCGCCAAAATTTGCCTCTGATCAGCATATCTTGTCCTAATAGTGGCGAACTCATCAAGCCGTTTCGTTTTTTTAAGCACAACGGCGTAAATTTGAGACTCGTGGTCTTGCAAACGAAACGGATCTACCAATGAATGACGAGGGTGAAGAACCTTGTTGTATTCGACCACTTTGTATGCTACGAGAGCTACGGACCTCAGGAATTGGAGGGTAGCTGGCCTTAGGAACTCGTAATATAGACACTGGCCGACTTGTCAGATCACCGCGGTTGAAAGATGTTCTCCGTTGAGGAGTGACGTCCACAGATTCTTAGAAATGTTCCGCTTTAAATCCAAGAAACAACCCTTCTTTCCCTCCTAGAATTACGTTACGCTTTGGCAAATATCTCCGTTCTTACTGAAGAAATCGACATTTTTTGTCGATATTTATGAAAGTTCAGGATGAAGGATGTCACTACTATAAAAGCTCAAAATTTAGCGATTGGTACCTAAGCAAAAACGAGTGTTCACAGAGATCTTGAGAAAGTAAAAACTTCGGCGGATGTCAAATCAAGCCAGAATTATGACGGTTTGAGATTTACAATTAAAAAAGTGCATGTTTTTTTTATAGAGAAAAGCTGTTCATAACTCGAATCAGCCAATAAAACTGTTGGCTCATAATCTAAGTTTACTATCTCTGTTGACACAATAATGTACTACATTATGCAACTAGGAACTACATTTTGTGTCTCAGTTTAGGAACAACGTATGTGCCATTAGTTCCCCTAAACACAGATAAAGTGTTTTTACGGATGAGCCAGAAATTGTTTAGTTCCCAATTGCAAAATGTAGCCCAAATGAACTTTTTGGTACTCGCCACACCTATTCGAGGGTTCGTTCAGG